GTGTGTGTGTGTGTGTGTGTGTGTGTGTGTGTGTGTGTGTGTGTGTGAGTGTGAGAGAGACTCAGTCACGCAAATCAAATCAAAACCGAGGCAGGGCCAAGAAGTATGAGTACTTGTTTTGTTGTGTTTGCTTGTCATGTCTGCTGACTGCGACCGTGTCTCCTTCAAAGATCCACGAGAAGCTGAGAGGAGGCCCAACACCATAGTGATGCACCCAGACTTCAGGATGCTCGTCCTCGCTAACCGACCTGGCTTTCCCTTCCTGGGCAATGACTTCTTTGGAGCTCTAGGTACACACACACACACACACACACACACACACACACACACATGCACAACACCCACAGCCTGGAGCAGAGGACTAGTAATCTTCTCTTTATTTAATAACAAACTCATATAAAAGACCAAGCACCTCTGATACATTGGGAAAGGAAATTGGGAGCGATGCAGCTCCTGTCAGATTAGCTGATTTAAGCGTTCTTTGCCCTTTTGTATCAAAGGAAAAAAGACATAACCAGGAATTTGATTGTCATTCAAGTTTTACTTAAAGTTCTCCAGAGCTGTCAAAGCTCCAGCAGCTGTTTCATTGCTTGCCTTTAGATGCCGCATGTCTACATCTGTAGGTTTCGGGTTGATGGTTATAATGTCAGCCCCTAGTTTCAGCTGTTTGCCATCAGTACCACTGTCCTTGTTGCAGAGCGCAGCAAAGTGCTAAGCTTCAGGTTTAGGTATATGTGTAGAAAACAAACATAGAATGATCACACAAAGAGCTAAGCAGATATTTCTTTAGTAAAGTTATGAGAGATGGAGTGACACTATCACTACAGGAAAGAGTGACTTGTTATTGTCCTCTGATCAGGTGATATCTTCAGCTGCCATGCTGTGGACAATCCAAAGCCCCAGGCGGAGCTGGCAATGCTTAAACAGTACGGCCCCGACGTTCCCGATGCCACGCTGCAGAAGCTGGTGGCCGCCTTTGGAGACCTGAGGTCCATGGCCGACCAGGCCACCATCACCTACCCCTACTCCACCCGAGAGGTGGTCAACATAGTCAAACACCTCCAGGTAAGAAGACGCAGACGATGCATATCTTTTTTTTTATTAATATTTCATAAAGATTATGTGACCTTAATCCTGCACTGCTAGGTGCTTTAATAATGCAAGAGCGTGTCCTCACAGCACAGCTGTGACAGAGAGGGAAGACCCTGTTCCTGCCTGTCTAGACAGACGAGAACACACACACACACACACACACACACACACACATATGGATACACTTCAACATACACCGTTACACAGGATTGGTCATATAATCGGCAGTTGTTGGAGAGAGTTTTCATACCGGTTCTGCCCCTGATTATGCTAGAAAATAACTAAATATAAAATACAGGTGTGTTTGCAGCTTGTTTGTGTGAAGGGAGAACACACACATGCTTATTTTGTTTGTGTTTAATGATCAGGGTTGTCACGTCGCATTGTGGTCTTTGGTCTTAAGAAACGCACACAGTCTTTAGCCCAGAGAGGAAGAACAAAACACCCAGAAGAACAAGAACAGGGCTTCCAGAGGAGGGAAATTCAGACTCGAGCTTGTACTACTGCCGATCAATAATTCAGTGCACAGGCACGAGCCCTTATGTTTGATTTCCCCACTGGCCACCCTGTTCTGTCATCAATCACCACCACTATTGACACCTGCAGGAGTGGGACAGATACCGGAGGATTTAGTCAAAGACTGAATTGCTTCTTTCGAGGCAATAGCCAATATAGGCTCTAATCACCGTTTCACATTTGGTCATAATTGTACCTTTGTGCTAACTTGGAACCCAGATCAATACAGCCCAATGCTCATTACATCCAATCAATGTTTTAGTTGTAACCAGTTGGGGTGAAGCTGTCATTGATTGTGCAGCCGTTTATAGGCCTAACGGTGTAATTACATTGCACGTCTGACAGTGCCATAACAGTCCTAACAATGCCCCCGGGATTCAGGGCGGCTCAGTCATTACAAGCGTCCTTTTAAAAATGTGTACAAACATTCGATTACAGCTTCAAGTTTACTCACATTAAGACTGTAGACATGCTGCTGCTAGAGCGAAGGGTTAGGTCACGTGTACGGCTGCAACTGTTCTGTTCGTTTATCATCAGTTATTCTGTCAATTGATCCACACTTAAGCCGAGTATTGAACCTCTGTACTGTATTTTATCGATCATGTACCGATGTACCAGATTCATAATCCTGTTGGCCTGAATAATGTTTAAACAACTATCTGATGAAGGAAGAAGCAGAGTTCTTACATAACCCATTGTGTGTAGACATCTAACCTTTCAGAACTTTGCCTAGTTTTGTAGAAAAAACATTTTTCATGGTATCAAAAATCGTTTGTTTTGTATCAGCGCCGAGAGTCGTGTATCTGTTACGCACAAACAATACCCAGCCTTTATCAGGCTCCATTTTTCAGTCTTCAAAATTGTCCAAAAATCATGAGGAAAGCCTGTTTTTAAAGTTACAAGTAGCACCTGGATTATGTTTCTCAACGTTTTTCTTTTTCTTGAGGGTTTAAGAGTGAAGTCTCTGCTTCTGCTTACAGCATCTCTCTCCCTCTCTGCCGCTCCGTTTGTCTTCCTCCATCGCCTATTTACCAACCTATCACCATAGTTACTGTGCAATACAGAGAATTTATTGAGGCAATATAACTTGTATCTCTCCAATTATATCACAAATGCAATAACTAAGGGTGCCTTTACTGTCAGTGTTGTGGCCAGAGTCTAGAGAGGACTTGCCTTCAAGATAGCGTGTCTCTTTTCCAGACCGTGTCCCTGCATTGACCCCCGTTGAACAACTTTCTTTAACCCTCTTCATTCCATCTTCTCTGCTTTTTCCCCCTATTTCTCATCCTACTTGCCACCCTCCCTGCTCCCTTTTTTGTCATTCCTCTCACTATCCTCCCTGTCTACTTCCTCTTCTCCACCCTTTTTTCCCCCTCCCATACCTTCCTCCTCCTCCTTCTTCTAAACCACAGAAATTCCCCGACGAGGGTTTGGCCAACGTGGTGCGAAATGTCTTCGACTTTGACTCGTACAACAAAGACACGCGAGAGGTTCTGATCGAAGCGCTGCACAAGCACGGGATTCCCATCGGAGCCAAGCCCAGCTCTGTCACACTGGCTAAGGAGTAAGCAAGGCATCAGGAGCACAAGGATGACACACACACACACACACACACACACACACTAAAGGCACATCCAGTACCTGACTGACGCTCAGACAGACTGTCATGAGTTACAGGGGCCAGTCAGAAAGGGTTTAGAGTGAGGCGATGGATAACAGATGACATCATTGACGTTCTACCCGGCTCTATTATGGATCTCATTGAGACGAGGACATTGCAAAGCCTCAGCAGTGAGCCACCACAGCTAAGCTGAAGTTCACTCAGTCTATGTTTCCACTTTTCATATTAACTGGCGGGAACAAAGTACAATATGAGCTTGTACTCAGTGCTTGTACTTCTTATTGTACCTTTTAGAGAGGACAGGTACTACTGACAGTGACCAATAATGTCGTCCACTCAGCAGTCCTCATCGGAGAAACTCTCTTTTTCTTGCCTAGTGGAGCCGACTATTGGAAACCCATAAGAGGGTTCTAGTCAATTAACCCGTAAGTCACCATAACCTGCAGCGTTGATCATCTTTTGTCAAACATTTAAACTTTATCAGAACCTATAGAAGCACGCACGCTTCCTTCTGTGCAGTGGTACGGTCGACAGGTGTAGTTCGGTCGAGAGAAAATAGTTCCCCCATCAAACTGCTCACAACTAGTCACATTAGTTCCATTATATTCGGGAGAAGGCCGACATCTCTACAACCGATATCTCCAACACTGCAACAATTTAGATTTATAAAAAGCACGACCGGTTATAGGAAAACTATGTATTTTTGATTTTGAGGTGAACCGCCCCCTTTGAACTTTGAGGCTTCCATGAAGTCTTCGCACTGCTTCCTGAAGTGAATGGCGGACTAGATCATTCACATTACCTCGCCTTTTCCATAAGGGAAAGATCATATTCTAATATCCACTACTTTGTCTCTTCATGCACAGTTTGTCTTTTAAATAAAGGAAAATATTTGTTTCTTCTGTCTCCTGTGGTTTTGTTTGACACATGCAAAAATTCAGTCTCATGAATCGCTCAAGTAACATCTTGAGAACAGAGCAGAGCAGAAACAAGTATTTTCCTTCAGCAATTACGCAGCTGATTGTACACATCTGTTTCATTATGTCTGTGCTGGCATTATCCGTGCTCACCGTGTCTTTTGGGATCTGTGTTTTAAGAGGTCCATCTTGAACAATTTATCTCCCACAACATCTTGTGTACATAACAGCAAATATATTTGTCTCTTGAGTTCCAATTTTGGACATGGAAAACAAGAAATGGTTTCTCTAATGTGTCTCATTATTTTTCCATTCATAGAAATATTTATGGTTAGAGGATTGTTCATCATCCAAGCCGTTTATCCACTTTGAATTTCTGTGTTTTTTTGCGGTTGTGTTGCATCTTTCACCCCACCTGCAGCCAATAAGGCCGTGGCCACAATCCAGCTATGATTCATAAGACCAGTAAACATCTGGCCAGACACAACAAGCTGAGCAGGGACACACACACACACACACACACACACACAGTCACTTGTCCCACACTGGCTTCACCCTCTCTAGAGAGAGCCGGGATCAAATTAAATCCTGTTTTTATGAAATCCCACTCGGAGCAAAATACGGCTTCCATCTGAACTCATTTTGCGGTTTCCATGTTGACGCTCTCATAACATGAGTTCATTTTGTTTGAAGTGGGGATGCAAAAATTGTGACAGTGAAACCCATAATGGACCATCAGAAAGCCACAGGATTCGTGCCATGGTGCTCTGTCAAAAAAAACATGCCCACAACTTGATATATTTTGATCTCAGGAATCCACCATTTTGCAGTTCTTACCAAGCACTTTGATCTTTAGGTTGCCCCTGCCGGAGGTCAAGATGACGGGGTACTGGACAATAAACCAAGTCGGCAACGCTCGACGCAAACTGCTCTGTCCCACTGAGACACACTCCATAGACATCAAGGTAAACACACGAAGGAAAACACACTCCGATCTTCAAAGTTTACCATGAGCAGAAATTCCTTCACATCTCCCATATGTGGTGGTAGTACTTGCAAAAATATGGAAACTATAATCAACTATAATTGTGTATATGCTGTATTGTTGCAAAGTATGGATGCACCTAAAAACTGTAGCACGGTTCCACATAATTTCGACCATAAACATTAAACACCAGTGTTGCTTTCATACACTGTTTCGTGTGTGTAACAGTGTTGTCTTGTGTTTCCAGGGCCCCGTGTTTCTGCGTGTTCAGAGCTCCTCCTGCAACAGACAGGAAAGCAGGGCTTTGAGTTTCAGCGAAGAGAAAGCCCACTGGCAGATTCCCATGAGTGAAGTCAACATCATCTGCGATGTCGCCACCAAAGATGGTATACACACACAAACAGCGTCAACACTGTCCTGCTACACATTCTCAGGTCTCAAGTGTTCATTTAGGGATATATTAGAGGATCCAGTGGAGGAGGAGAATGTAGGTGCACAGCTATGCAGTGGGCTAGACAAACTTCCAAGGAAGGTTGAAGACAAGAGATGTCTTTTCCAGTTTTTAAAGGAAACTATTGATGAACTGGGAAAACACCATTGGATCGAACACAACTACTTCAATTATAGTGATCACAAATCAGAAATGGATAAGATACCAAGAGCAAGAGTTAGATAAACCCTGATTCAACGGTGAAATGTGTCTGGATATAGACACAAATGCATAACATTATTAATAATAATCCCACATTCCCTCTGTTTTTGTTTTGCAGATGTGCTGTACGTAGCCACGTGTAACCCCGTGTCGCTGTACTCCATGAAGGAGCGCGGGGAGACGATTCAGTGCATGGAGCTTTACGACGTCTTCCCCAGGACCATCAGTGGCGTCTGGCAGCCCTTTGTCACCGTTGCACCCCTTGGGAGTCCTCTTGATGGACAGGTGGTGCTGCACGAGGAACAGGTTGGCACACAAACACAAGCCTGTATGATACGTGATGATCACACCGATAAGATTCAATGAGGTTTTTATCTAAATCTCTATGGAAAACATGCCCAGGATGTTGATCATGCTAAAGGTACCCTGTGGAGTTTTCATTGTAAATAAACATGTAGTTTCCATCACATATTTTTCACCAAAACTCTTCAGTGTTCAGAACCTGGGATACCTCCCATTTATAAAATCAACAGGGCAGCCCACACTGTCACTAACTACACTCCTTGAATAAACATTATCTAATTTATGGGAAAAAAACAAAAGAGCAATTTCAGTGAACAGAAAATATGTGTTTGTAAGATATATCCAGGATGTCAAACTGATTCAGCCGTAAAAAAAAAGGTTAAAAAATAATGTTTCATTAGTATTTACGGTATGCATTATTTACATCTTCTCTTTTATCGGGTCTTTGTCTTCTGCGACCGCCCTATGCAGTTGACATAAATATATATATCGCCTCCTCCTCAAGCGTAGGTGTCATGTTAACGAGGACAAAGACACCACAGGGTACCTTTACCACAGGACAGATACCTGACCATAAAACACGAAACCACAAAAGATGTTATCATGGGACAGTGGACATCATTACCTACACACCAGTACTGTAAATGTCAGTTTTAATTGTGTTCTGTGGAACACCGTACAAGAACAATGTGGAAAGTGTAAACAGTCTTTGTATTTACTAAAACACAACTCCACTCACAGACTGTCAGTGTTCACAAAGGAACCAGATCTCTTTTGTCTGATGTCCTTGTTTACTGACAAGTATGTATGTATGTATGTATATGTATGTATGTATATGTATGTATGTATGTATGTATATATATGTATATATATGTATGTATGTATGTGTATATATGTATATATATATGTATATATATAAGTTAACTTTACGAAGAACTGGCATTTAAACTTTTTTTTTCGGCGCAACAACAGATTCCTCACGGATTTAAAATAGCTTTGCTCAAGTTTGTTTGACATTCTCAAAATGGTTGGTGGTTAGCGGTTGTTTGCTGTTGAACCTCTCTCACCCCCATAAGACCATGGTCTATGACAGCAGAGCGCAAGACAAGAACAATGAATGTTCGCTATTTCTCCAGAAGCAGAACACTTTTACAGCTGGTGCATATTAGGCAAGAGGAGGACTTCTAAAAATACCGTGGTGATGGATCATGTTACGTCTGTCTAAAAATGAAGAGGTCCAGACAACAGCAAGTTCATTCACAAGTCATTGGCCATCCTGGAAAATCTCACACACACACACACACACACACACACACACACACACACTAGGCATTGACACACAAATGCACACATTCTAGTGAAAGCACACAAAAAAAACCCTCAAAGACAAAATGACACCCCTGCCTGTCAGAAGACACATCCACATGTAGGACATACACGTGTGCTCACGCATGTACGCACTCCCTCCATAGGCAGTATATGTTTAGAATCAGGAAATGGGGTTTGCCTTCTCTGAATAGCTCGACCAGTCCTCGGTACAGTAGTGTGTATGTCAGGAACGGGAGGCCGTGAGGAAAACGTTAGTGTGAAGCAGCAGCAACCGGGGCCGAGGCCAGCTCCCCTGTGGCCCCCTCTCATAAAACTCAATTGAAGATGAAGCCTAGTGCGTCACAAACGAAAGCCTTTTGCACAGGTCACCCAATACACACTATGTAAATATATATGTATATATACACTGAGATATGCTATTGCTCAACTAATGTAAATGTAGGACTCAAACAAACGCAGAAGAGTACATGTGAAATTAATTGAAGTGACTTGCAGTGCTGTGTTCAAATCAGTTTGAGTTAACTCAGATCAACGTGGTCTTCTTCTTCTTCTTCTTCTTCTTCTTCTTCTCCTTCTCCTTCTTCAGGATTCAGTATCTTCCAATACTCACAATATTCATAATTTTCGGTCATACTTTATATTTTATACTATAGTTTGATGGTATAACATTTTGTTCTGAATCCAGTCTTGCTCTGACATTTACATCCCGCTCTCTTTCAGAGTAACACAGTGCTCCATTTGGACATGGTGACGGGCGCCGTGCGGAGGCTCATGTTGTCTCCGGACACGGATCAGCCCTCCACCAAAGCCTCCAGCTGGTGGAGCAGTAAGGAGCAACAGGTGAGTAGCTTCCACTACAGGACATCAACTAGATATGTCATTTATCCAGTTTTACATGAGGACTAGTAATCATTTACACATTACATATTCATACATCTGTGATAAATTAGGATGCATTATCCTCTGCCGAATTTTTACAATTTATAATCACTGAACAAATCATTCCAAAGCAGTGTGTGGACTCAATGCGTTGTGTGCATTCACTGTTTGCAGGCAGCGCATAAAATGTGCCACGACTTCGCCCACAAAAACTGGCTCCTCTTCTATAAGGAGGAGGGGTAAGCTGCTCCGATCTCAGCTAAATCCTCCACGACGCTGTTAAACAGCGCTATCTCGGCCGTGCGCTGGTGTTCATCGCTGTTGTGTTTGTTTGTGCGTGCAGCAACCAGCTGGACGTGCTGGACGTGCTGGAGGGCCGGGTTCACTCCATCTCGCTTCCAATCAACCTGAAGTCTGTCTACCTGGTGGCAGAGGACCGCTGGCTGCTGCTGGAGAGCAACACCAACAAGTGAGTAAGGGACGGATCCCTTCTGAGGGTCTTAACGTTTGAATTCACTCGTAATGCGACATACTGATTGTGTCACTGAATATAGGAAGTTCCTGCTGACCAAGCCCTTGCATATGTCAGCTGAAGACTCGGGCGTGTGTCAGCTCCACAGCATCAGCGAAGACTCGGTCAGCTCAGGCCACGGAGCCAGCTCAGGTAAATGTAACCATCAGGACATTAAGGATGGACGTTGCTCTGCTCTAAACTAGTTAATGTTCCATCAAAGACATTGTGCCAACCCTATTAACAAAACCAGGCAGACGGACATTAGTCAAACCAAATATAAGAAGTTCTCCAGAGCTCTCTCCACACAAGTGTTTTAGTTTATCTCATCATCTCCTTCTCCATCGCTCTCTCTGTTCCATCATGCTCTGTTTGGTCCCTTCCTCTCCCAGATGAGGCGTCCGTCCCCCAGATGCTGTCATGTGAGCAGCTCCCCAACGAGAACCTCAGCGCCGCTCTGGACCAGAAGATTGTTTCCCCCAACCGCATACTGGCCGACAGCGGCTCCTTCGCCCGGGTCGTTGTGGGCTTCCCAGACCTCGTGGTGAGATTATAATAGGACATGGTTGAAAATAAATAAATACACTTATAGGGCGAGGACATGTATTGTTGCCGCACTGCTGTGTGCTTGATTTATACCGTAAGTAGCGACATTTTCCTCTTGGTTTCTTTTCTCGTCCAGTCCGCTAATGAGGTGTACAGCTTTAAGAGGCCTGTTGACCTCTCAGTGATGAAGAGTGCTGAGAGCGGGGCTCACATGTTCCTGAGAGGTGGGCTCCGGTCCAGCGAGGCCAAACGGGAGAATTGTGTCAGCCTGCTTTCAGCCAATCAGGTGGTCCGAGCGCTTCCACCCAACAAGGTGCCCTTGAGGGAGGTCTACCCCAAAGGTCAGCCTTCAGGTCACACACATGAGCTCAGCAAATGAGTGCAGACAGAGAGTTTGTAGTCAGACTTGTTTTCTTGTTTGTCTCTCAGACGTCACTCCTCCGATGACAGCGGCGTACCTGGAGGTGACCGATCTCAACTCCAAAAAAGTCAAATATATTCCCGTCCCGAGGTAACAATATCATTTTGCATCCTCGAGCGCCAGCTAGTGGTCAGAAACAGCATTGCTTTGAGAAAGAAAATCCCATTTATCTACCAGGCTAAACATCAAAATCCAAACACACATGATCAAGGTGATGATATCGAGCCTAACCCTAACCCTGGCAGAACTTTCTTCTTTAACTGACGACATGATTTACACATTTAAGGAGAATTTAAATGTTTGATATAGTGAAATTCACGGTGCCCTTTTGATGACCTATCTTAGTGACAGCGTCTTGACTTTTCCTACATATTTGTGATCGGCAGGTCGATGACCGTGTCGCCTTACACCAGCTGGTTGTCCAAGGTGTCCGAGTCGGACGTGCTCATAGCTGCTCTCGGTTCCGGGGGCGTCGTCACGGTGGACATGGGTGGGTACGTCCGGCTCTGGGAGACGGGGTTAGACACCCTGCAGCGATCGCTGATGGAATGGAGGAATATGATTGGGGCAGAGGATGGCAGACCTTTACAGGTAATTTGTTTGCTAATGTCAGTGTTGATTGGGTAAAGAATAGAAATGCTTGCAGCCTTGCAGTTTCTCTCAACACCAGCGGGGGGCAGTGCGACTTTAGAAATAACTACAGTGAGCAGATTTTCAGCTGGATGTCACTCTGCATGCTTGCCTGACTTTGACAGAATATATTAGCTGCAGAAACATTCCTGATTTTATGCTCACCAGAATGTTTCCAGTCCCAAAATGTACGACCCGGCTGGGTGGGTGTGTATGAATGGACGGGCATTGTGCCGATGATGCAATAGCTTTGACCCTCCGTATGGGTCAGAACATTTCGGACCAGCGTACTGAGAAAGCATTGTTAAGGTGCCCACATACACAACAGAGGCAGATACATTCTTTAGATAATGGAGCCTCCCAGATGTAGGGGGCGTTATCTGCAGAAGCCTTCACGTGGACTGAAAACATGTCAAAGAGACGGATCATCAAAATTGGAAAATGTATTCCGGTGACTGTCTTGTCTTTCCTCATCGAAAGATAATCTGTTGAATCTTAATTAAGTAATAGAAATTTATTATGAAGCATATTTCATGTGAAACCTTAGTAGTAGTATTTTTTTTATTCAGTCATCACACAATACAATACGTACAAACAGTATATATAATATACAATCTAGTATACAATAAGTATAACCAGTCTACACAGTATAAGCAGAGGAAGTAAGAGTGAGTTAAATAATGACTGTAAAGGCAGACAGAAGATGAATGCCTCTCCTACATTCTTATCAATTTATGCTACCCTCAAAAAATAAAAATCATAATGAAACAAAAATAATTCAAATATCGTTTACAAACCTTTCTTTTGAAAACCACAAGCAAGTTATTTAAATTGAAAAGCCTTTGACTTAGAATAAATTCATTATAAAGACACACCTGCACACGTGGGACCCCTCTGTGGCCCCTAGAGGCCTCAGTAGTCCGGCCCTCTTTGAAGGGGCACCTTGAGTCCACTGACGGTCACACAGACTCGCCCCTGTGCTCTGATTTAGCTCACCGACACCAACAGCAGCACTACTGTATTCAAACATACCCGCCTACAAGGCTCTCTGTCTTAGAGATGTACGCTACTTTACCCAACTGTTCACACACCTCACCTGCTCACTGACATTGTCACTTTACAGCACTGTTGACATCATCAACACATACCGATGCACAGGAGACATCAGTCATCATCTCTCTGCTCTCACAACACACGTCTTTTGTTCAACTGGTGCTTCTGGTGCCAAGTATGCGTCTACAGGTACCCAGCATAATAAAAACCACGTTCTTAGCAGTTCACTCTCGTGTATCCAGTCACTCAGCCTCACACTTAATTGTACAATATGGCTGATTTTACACCCGTGTGTGGGTGTCTGGTTGGCCACCTGCCATCTTACCCCCCCTCTGCCCCTTGCACTACTGAAGTTAGCTTATCAGTCACACGCACATCTACACTTGCTCGCTCCTTTAAAGTCCAAATTGTCTGCAGCAGTGTCTTCAAGAAGGTTACTGTTAACAGAAGGAAGGCTTCTTGAAATGTGCAAGTAACATTTTGGAACACAGTTTTTAACCACATCACACGCTTTACACCATTGATTGAAGTACAAATGACAACATGTTAGTTCTTACACACCTGCACGCTGCACACCTTGGATTCATTTACTCACATTAGACTCTTTCACGTGTTCAAACACTCATGTACAGGCATGCATATATGGCATCACACAGACACACGCTAGCATGCACCCAGGTTCACGCAGGGGCACGCATTTACTCCTCAAAAGTGGGCTCATTCTCACACACACACACACACACACACACAGATGCCGTCAATCCTAAATCACTCTCTGTCTTTTGGCGTCTAAAGGGAGGATCAGAAATTTATGAGGCTATTAATCTCTCAAGACAAGGCATGGACCGCAGATGAGAGACTTATAGAGACGCTGAAAAGAAATGGGGAGGGGGGGAAAAGGGATTGAGAGAGGAGGGTGGGGTAAGGACATTGATTCCCACAGTCATAAAAATTAACTTTTCTCCGCCGCCCCTCACTCCTCTTCCCTCTCTTTTTATTTTCTGTTTCTCTGTCTCGGGGTGAAGGTGCCATCTTTAGCTTACAGGGACCAGTGGCAACAGCAGCAACAATCACCTTCAGGCCCATTAGTTTCTGAAGTGTTGTTGTAAAAAGCACTCGTGTAATGTAACGGTTGTATAGGTTCATGTTATGGCCACCAGCACTGTATATAGAAGAAACGTTGCTCCTGAGAGACCATGTTTTGTCCATCATTTTGGCGTGACAGACGTAAGCAGATATGTAGAATGACAGATGCTAGTTGATCATGTCAGAAACACTTTCTGCCATCTGATATCCTGTCGCTGCATTGCCCAAATGACTCGTGTCTCTTTCACGACCAGAGCAGGAAACTCGACCGAGCTCGGCCCCCCTAAGAGCCCAAAACGGACACATGTCGTTAAAGCGCCACTCGTCATTTTTCTCAAACCAAAAGCGGAGCGTTCGTCACCTTTTTACTGGCTGTGACGGAGCCGGAATTCCATGAAAGAACACATTCACGAGGAATGTTGTCACCGGCCAGAGAGTTTTATCTGTATGCAGCGTGATGACAACGGTGGATTACTGAAACAAACCTGCATCCTGACAGCTCAGCTTCCTCTCTCATGGACTGTTTTCCGAGACACTTACAAGCATCAGAGCCCAGCAGACGCACAGAAACAGGCCTGATGGAGGTGGAGCTGTGTTGTCAGGGAAAAAGAGAGAGTGTGTGTGTGTGTGTGTGTGTGTGTGTGTGGGGTGGTGTTTATCAAGCGATCGTAATCACCTTCATAAATGCTCAGTGAGAATGCTATGTCTAGCCAGTACAGCTAAGCCTTTGAAGCCACATTCCCGCGCATCAGGTGCACACCCTTGTTACCCAACATGGCACAGGCATGTGTGCAGCAGTGCTGATGTTCTGCTGCTGTTCTTTCGCTGTACGACTTCACCGGAGGTGAGCTCCTGAAGGTGAGCTGCGGTGACACGACAGGCTCAGACCTCTGACCCTTTACCTCACCGCAGAGCTATGGCACCGAGCTCTCTCTGGTTACTGAGGTTTACAACACTGGTTCATGTGCCACCTACACACACACACACACACACACTTCCTGTGGATAACACCAGAGTAAAGGCTCTTTTGATACACTGATGCTCTGTTGGTTTGCAGCCGCATGGGACAGTGGGGATGTTTGTCATTTTAAATGACCCATGTTTGAGACCCTGCTGGTTACTAAAACAGCCCCTCCCCCAAATCTCCTCACTGTTATTGTCATGCGAGGAACAGATCTGTAGATCATGTAGATCTGTAACGTCAACAGCCAACGCAGCTGGCCTGTAGCTGATGATCATTGTGAGTCTGCATATCTGTGTGTGTGTGTGTGTAGGAGTCAGAGATATCTTCTACAGGGTGTATTTGTCTTAAAACCTGACAAAAATGTAATCAACACCTTTACCAACAGTGTCAACAAAAATGATAATATTTTATAATCTTCCTAGTTGTTGAAACTTTGCCAGATACGTTGTATTGGATTGCATTCAATTGTATAGGTGTACCTAATAAAGTGGACAGGGAGTGTATTGGTTAAATGGATCCACCTGCGATGAACTAATGTTGGTCGGACTCCAATTCCAACGTGTTTTGCTGCTTATTTTTCTTAATTTCGGGTGTTTTTATACAATAGTTAAGCCTCTGGGGAGTTAATGGGTTCCGTTCTGTGTGCGTGCGGCCGTGTGTGTATTTGTCTGTCCATGACTAATCATGCGTGGAAAAAGCGAATGAGTGTTTCAGATATAAACAAGGTGCCCCTATGCATGACATTTAAAACCATCATCTACTTCCAGCGAGAAGGCGAAAGGAGGAGAAAAACAGCAGAAACACTTGGAGGATGTATTCTGGATGAATGTTAAAACACTGATTTTCTTTTTTAAATGTTTACAATTAGTGTGAATCTGCTTGAGCAATAAAACGTATCGTGTCAACACTTCCAGTAGGTCCACACGGTGAGCTCGTTCCCACGATGAGTGTTATCTTGTCCTTGTACTTTGCTTTGTATCAGACTGACCCTTCTAATCCGCGCTAAATATAGAGAGCTCTGCCGATACAGCAGCTTCATGTAGAGGTGAGAACAGAGCCTGAGCTCTGAGCGCCACCGAGTCAGTTTGAGGTGTGGACAGCGGGTTAGCAGAGGGTCTGCTGCTCCTGCTAGATAAGTGTCCGTTACACCGCTCAGTCCGTGATGAACCAAGAAAAAAACAGCAAAGATGTAACACACACACACACACACACACACACACTTAGTGGTTCACAACAAAACCTCATCCCCCACAGATACCATTCAAATTCCTGCAGTATGTAAGAATGCAGCTGAACTACAGGGGATGCACTTAGTCTCCCACTGAACCACTCATTCCTCTCTCACTCCCTGATGTGTGCCAGACTCTGGTGTTGGAGCCGGCATGCTGATTTTGGCATCGATGGTGCCGTTGAGATGGCCCTAAGAATCCAGAGCTTTAACCTCTCGGTGTCTCCGCTCCCTCCTTCTCCATTCTCTTAATGCTTTTGACTGTGTGCTAGGTAGTCCCACATACTAACTCAGCACATCAGGAGGTAAACACGGTAAATACTATATACGTAGGTGGCCAGACCCCACTAGTGATGGTAAAAGTATGTTTTTGTGTGAGTTGGGGCTGAACCGACCCTTTAAGCCTTATAAGTTAGAGCATTGGTTGTCGCTCATTTCAGAGGCACCTGCACAGATGTGAGTCTGCACTTGCATGTTTGCGAATGTTTAAAAAAAACTGACCCACATGATGTCTCTCAATCCCCGTCAGATTACCATCCAGAGGGACAGCGGCCTGGACGTCACCGCCCCGAAACATGGCAAGACGGACCCCAACAACGCTCCTCATGTTGGGGGAAACCAGTGGGCAGGAGGCACAGGTAACCACTGGTTTTACAGAGTCGGCAACATGCAGAAATCTGTGATGACGTTTACACACACACATTAGTATGATTGATGACACTTAAGGAGCACGTACGGTGCTTTGTTGCCCTTGGGCAAGGCACCTAGCCTCAGCTCTGTTGTTCTGTACTTCTAGAGAGCTGCTAGAATCAGATATTCTGTATGTGACAATGTGAACAAGGGTCATCATAGTGGTGAATGGATTAGTTAGTTAATCCATTAGTCAGTCAACAGAACAACTATTTAGATTTTGAATTATTGTTAGAGTCGTGTTTACAGTCAAATGAATGCAGACTTTTTACTGAGTTAATAGAAGCTCTGGGTCACATGTTTGATTTAAAATGCGTTATTTGTTACATAAAGTGCCTCCAATAACTGTGATTGGTTCATCCCTAATGAGATGTTTTGTTGCAGGCGGCAGGGACACGGCGGGGCTGGGGGGCAAAGGGGGCCCCTATCGGCTGGACGCGGGACACAAGGTCCACCAGGTCTCCCAGGTTGAGAAAGACGCAGTTCCTGAAGAGGTCCGCAGAGCCGCCCGCGAAATGGGTGAAAAAGCCTTCAAAGAAAGGTAGGTCGCTTTAAATACAGAAAATACAGAACATACAGTGATCACGTGCTAAAACAATGAACATCCCAGTGTAGGAAAGCACGGGCAACCGTTAACCAATAACCCGTATCTAACCTGAGTCAGCTCCACAGGTGGGAAACTACGTGAAGGTGAACAGATGTTTTGGACTGACTTTGTTTTTGACTTTGGAAACTACCTAGAACTGAAGTGTGTGTGTGTGTGTGTGTGTGTGTGTGTGTGTGTGTGTGTGTGTGGACCTTTTTGTTCACGGCATCTGTAGGGTTTTCTGATCAGTCCGTCATCCCAGGTATAGTGCGCCATCCTGGGCCAACAACCACATGCTGCAGGGCCCCAGTTGGATGGATGAGCGCAATGGTAGATCCCACTGGGCATCGTGTGTGTGTGTGTGTGTGTGTGTGTGTGTGTGTGTGTGTGTGTGTGTGTGTGTGTGTGTGTCTGCACTTGCACACATTCACTTCAGAGGAGGGTTAAGAGGGCACCCCTTTCACCAGCTCCACCATGAAGGCTGTCTCTGTTCTCCTTCGCTTCAAACAGTTTCGTTCTCTTTACTTTCTTTTCTCCCCCCCACCTCCCCTATCCTCCCCCTTTCCTGCATGGCCCTTCTCATACACTGGCTGCTTTCACGCCAAGAGGACAACCTCTCTGACTCTCCTCTCTCTCTCCTTTTGTGTCTCTTCTCTTCTTCCCTCGGTCTTCAGCCATTTCTCTTGCTTTTTAAAATTTCTTCTTCGACACCCTTCCCCCCCCCCCCCCCCCCCCCCCCCCCCTGTCTATCAGTGTCCCACTAAGCCCAGAGAAAATCTTGTAGCTACATGCTGACACCCTGCTTCCAAGTAGATGTTACTGTACTTGACTGCTCTTGAACACAGCAGGTGAGCACACACCACGGAAGTAAACCTACAGAGGGGGGGCGTCTTGAATCTGTGTTGTCTTTCTTTCCTCATATCACAGGTCAACTCTGTCAGGCTTTTTCCATACGTTCTCATTCACTGATGTGCGTGCGCTCAATCCTTTGTTTGCTTAGCAAGATTGAGTGTCAATCAAACTATGATCCCTCCGTAAACTCTTGAGCACCTGACACACTCACACAAGCAAAAACAGGCTTAGGTATGCCTAAAACATGAAACATGTACACACACATACTCTCTGTTTCAAAGGTGAAAAATGAATTTAAAAAAATGTCATAATAGGTATATATATTTTAAATATACATTTTTAAAATCAGTTCAAAAATCAACCAACATGTGATGAAAATAATCCCCTAGATTAGATTGTTTTGAGGCATTAATTAAACAGATGACAGCGTAGAAGCAGAGAGAGGGTTATGGTAAATGCAAAGCCAGAGTTAAAACAAAACCACTCTTCTTTAGTTGTTTTGTTTCTGTAATCAAATGCATCATTTGCAGAATAAAATCATCCTTGTCTGCGACCTGTGAGAGGCAGGTCTTGTGGACGGAAGGCTACCGTCGGTGCGGTTTGTTTAGTCGCAGGGAGTGTCCGCACAACTCGCTGTTTTTGTGTCTGTTGTGTGGGAAATGTCCGTGTCCCCACCTCGAGCCAGAGCAGACTCTCTCTCTCTCTTTGTATTTGTCATTCACTCGGTTTCTCCCGGTTAAGGCAAGGTTCAGGAATTTGAAGGAAATAGCCGCGGCCACTGGCCAGAGTGTCTGCTCACCGCGTACACTCTCACGCATCCTCTCTCACACACACACACACATACACACATGTGCACCCCTAGGAATGTGTGGAGGAAGTCACTCTGCTATGTGCCGGTCTGTGGGCTGACATGATGTGGTGTGAATGCAAAGGAACAGACGGGAGGGACTGTGTGTGCCGGTCAAAAATAACTATAACGTGAGTGTGATACAGTACATTGTGAGTCATGAGAGGGAATAGCAGCATGGGATGAGTGGACGTAGAGGATGGATGGATGAAAAGTAATCACAGATCAATCAATCAATAGTATACCTTTACAGTGTCATTCACTTCCTCTACGATACAGAGAGTCTAACCTCCACTCTCGTTGTTTTTCTGTTACATGAATCGTTTCAGCACTTCATGTGGAAGTGTTTTTTCCTACTTTTATTTCCCTTCATTTACGATTGTTAAAATGACATTCCAGGTGCTGATGATGATGATGTAGTTTAACCTTCATTTAGTCGTCTATTACAGACATTATGTTGTTGGATGTCCTCTGAGTGAGTTTGTAATCTTTTGTGATTGCATGGCTGATGCCAGCGCAGTCTACACAATACGTGCAACCAGTCTCTCTCTCACACACACACACACACACACACACACACACAGGTTTGTTGCAAGCCGTGACACATCAAGTCAAAGCCTCCTTCAACCTCTACCTGTGTTTTGGAGTCACTGCTCTGTCTCTCTGTGGATGTCACGGTCTGGTTGTCACCAAAAGTTTCCACAAGTGTCCTCAGGAAGACATTTCTCAGTCTATCTATTTTTTATTCTGTCTTTCTCCATCTACCTGAAATCAAGAGGCCGACACAAGAGTAGTTGCTCAGATATAAATTGCAGAATAAACGCACAAATCTGTTGCGGTTCCTTTGATTGGCCAGTGAGATTTAGAGTTGCTTACCTGTGGTTGCACTGTAGAACAATGTATATTTCAGTGCATCCAAGGGGACATGTGATAGACATGTCTACAGATTGTGTACCTTTAAACTAAATCTGTCCGTGTTGGAAGAAACCCGCTTGTACAGAATTAAGTCGCCTCTGTTAAAGACCTTTGAGGCTGAAAGTCAGAAGCAAAAACAATAAATCCAACAAACTGTATGCTTGAATATAATGTCTGTATATAGTTTGTCTGAAACATATCAAATCAAGTCATCCGTGTGTTTCTCTGTCCCTTCATCTCAGGTTGAAGGAGATTAATATGAGCGAGTATGATGCTGCCACGTACGAGCGCTTCTCCACCGCCGTCAGGAGACAAGTTCAGTCTCTACGCATCATCCTGGACAGTTTACAGGTCAGCTGCCCTCCACTTGGCATCACACTTCTATATTTTAAACATGATTAGAACACACACCCATGTTGCTTTTTACTGTACAGACAGTACTGCATGCCATCCGGTTGACCCTGGCCGGTCACAAAACAAAAGTCCTGTTGAAGTTGTTAGATGACAATCGGTTGACCTTATACAACCCCATGGGCAGGAAGGAGGGGGCGCTGTCACACCGGAGCACCCTGATTGGTTCATAGAATGAAAAGCAGGAGCATAGGGGGAGTGGTGGTTAAAAACCCAGGATGTGATATTGTCTCCATTTCAATATTTTGGGTTAGATTTTCCTCCCTTTGTTTGAGCTTCTTAGGGGAAGTGTGTGTGTGTGCATGTGTGTGTGTGTGTGTGTGTGTGACGAGAGGAAAATCCCGCAGCATGTGAGAATGATTACAGAGCAGCGACACTCAGCCTAGCTCTATTATTCTCATGTCCAGGTGTGAAGTTTGTACAGTATATGTTGTGGTAGGTGGGTGTGTGTGTGTGTGTGTGTGTGTGTGTGTGTGTGTGTGTGTGTGTGTTTTCCATCCAGGTGTTTGCAGCCATGCCAGCGCTGGCTTTGAACATGAACTTTGGTTATTGTTTGTATTGGTCCTCGTGGCCCCGGGCTTCTTTCCCACTGTAAAGACTTCTGGAGATTATACCAATCTCAGCAGGCGGGACGCTGTGAAGTCATGTTATTTGTATCATACCTGAAGAGTGATTTAAGGAGTCACTCACACACACACACACACACACACACCTAACCATAGCTGGCAAGCTTTCAATAAACTGATTGTGTATTGTTTCCAGCTGCCGTCAGTCTCCCTAAAGGGAAACCCCTCTCTACTTATCTCTGAACAAAGAGCTGGCTCCCCAAATATAAACACCGGCACGTCTTCATCAAACGTATCCGAGCAGGAAATCAGTCCGAACTGGCCAAAAGAAATCACAGAGAGATGCATATTTGCTCTGAATTTTACGCCCAAGGAAATAGAAACTTTTTTTTTTCCAATTTCATTTACCAGGGAAACTGTCGTAACCTGTTCGGAGTCATGCAGAGGGAGGAGAGATATTTTAGGAATGATTCATGACAGTGAGCTTCTTACAACATTGTCAAAAATAGAAATCTTTTTGTCACCGACCTTGTGCGTGATGCAATTGCACCATGAACAAAGAGAGCTCAGCAAGGTAACCTCACGATGTGTGGCAACTCTGTCCACTCTCACGGGATCTGGAATAATGTGCATTTTAATCCTCCACCACTCGGCGTTAAGTGATGGAAAATAGACCCACTGCTGAACAACTTCTCCGTTTGTTCAGTCCATTGTGTTCACTAGCTATCTCAGATGTAGAGCATCATTCAATATATGTGTGTGTGTATCTCCTTGTGCATATGGATTTGTGTGTGATGCTGAATGCTAACTGTAGTTTGATTATACATATATGGATATATTGTGTGGATGAGCTGCTACGTCGCCTGTGCCCAAGACAAATGTCTCCTTAAGGAGACAATAAAAGGCTAATCTTATCTAATCTAAACAAGTATTGTTACAACCCCGATCAGAAGTCATGAGACCTGTGCTGTGTGCGACATGATGGCTAATCTATGTTCTTTTGTGTGTGTACACATGTCATGTGTTATGTCCTTCCATGTGACCACTGCAAAAACAAGTTACTTCTCACCGGCCAGCTCTCTGATTAACAGTTATCACACTATATATATATTCCTGGTGTGTACTCATACCTGGACAATAAAGATGATTCTGACTCTGAAAGTGGAGTGAAATATCCTTGGAAACGGGGTGGGAGGACAGGTGACGGTTGGTGGTGATGGTGGGGGGTGGGGGGGTTTAGTAATGTATGTGCAACTGGCCCCGAGCTCTTTCTCTACTCATGCTGTCTGTACTGTAAATCTTTCTCGTCTATAATGTGTCAGCCTGAATTACAACTGTCTGGGTTTTTCCCCCTCGTTTCACAATCTGCCCCACCAAAATGAGATCATTGTCCCCAGACAGATTTTGAAATGTGTGTATTTATTTTGTTGATTAGTTCATAATGTGTGTGTGTGTGTGTTTTCAGGCTAAAGGGAAGGAGCGGCAGTGGTTGAAGAACCAGGCTCTGGGAGAACTGGACGATGCTAAAATCATAGACGGACTGACGGGAGAGAAGGCCATATACAAACGCAGAGGAGAGCTGGACCCAGAGGTGTGTGTGTCTGTGTTGTTACAGATATTTAAACCACACTTTTATTTTTCCAGAGCCACACCTCCAAAACCACGCACACTCCCAGACCAACACATCATTTTGACCTTTATCTGTCATACGATACATTCCAGTGGTGTGTGTGAGATTATTATTAAACCCTGTGCTTCACACACAGTTTCTAGTCATTTCACATGTATGGTTGAGTATATACACACACACACACACACACAGCACAGAGATAGTTCCCACACTAATCATACAAACACACACTAACCATAATGTGCATGCCATGTTTTTCCTCCTTATTTAGCTCCAAGCATTGCATATTTTTGGTCTGGGGTGAAGATCTAAAATGAAGTAATTGCCACCAGTTCTTTAAACCTTGTCCTTGTGTCGACTGTTATTTTAAGTGAGCTGCACCAAATTTCTCAAAAACACTTTCCACAGTAGGTATTTTCTTTAATTTAGTCATTAGTCGCGGCCGATTTTCTTTGAAGATTTTGTGTTTTTTGTGTGTTTTTTTTTTTACAGCTGGGCAGTCCTCAGCAGAAGCCGAAGCGTCTCCGGGTGTTAGTGGACGTGTCGGGCAGCATGTACCGCTTCAACGGCGTGGACGGCAGGCTGGAGCGCTCCATGGAGGCCGTGTGTATGGTCATGGAGGCTCTGGAGAGCTACGAGCACAAGTTCAAGGTGAGATTCGCTTTGGACAAAAGCATCTGCCACATTCATTTAATGTTACTGAGGTGATACCATATCGACTGTACAGTCACAACCCAGCCCTATGTTACTTTTTCAACACTTATTTAGGTCATAGTTTGTTACCCAGCCTAGAGAGAAGGGGGGGGGGGTATGACTGTGTATAAAAAAGTTGACGGGAGACAGACTTCTTGGCCCCTAAGAGACACTCAACCCAACCTTATACTGATCACATATCAGTATGTCACACACACACACACACACACACACACACACACACACACACACACACACACTCTTCCGTGCTGCTGATCAAATATCGTGTAACTGCTTTCTTTGCGTAACAAAATAAAAGTGCATCTGATATCTCATAAGACGTGATATCTGCAGTCGTGTGTGTGCGTGTGCGTGTGCGTGTGTGTGTGTGGTAGATCAACAACTAGGCACTCAATAGATTCATGTCCTATTTATTACAGCCATCAAACCCCACTTACGTACATACTAATGTAGGAAAAAACACTCTTTTAAAAACTTTAATTTTAGTGATTTTAATTCTATTCATATTTTGAATTGAATTTGAGGATTTCATATAAAAAGTTGTATAAAAAACGAACTGTAAAAATAGATTTGACATTGTGGGGAAAAAAAAAAAAGAGGCTTCCTACCCAGCAACAGCGTTATGAACAGATGAGACACACAGCCGCATACCTCTGACCACCACAGTCATAAATGCCCATATTAGAAATGAGCCACACACATAATACCTGAGTCCTGGAATAGATGACTGGAGCCCACAGTGCCGGGCTGACCCGGGTCTAATGTAAGCCGCTTGTGACGTCTGGTCCATGGGAGGCGTGTACACTTTCAGGGTTAACATACTGTAGCGGTGCAGCTCGGCGCGACGATAGTCTTCTATAAGTTACGAGCTGACATTTCAGCGCCGTCACACCTGAGTCTTTACACCTCAGTCCACGTACTATTCCAGGCCGCGCATGAGGAGGATGCAAGGGGTTGACACGACGCAACAATAGAATATCGTCATTCTTTCCATTCATGTTCATGTGGTAGGATTTTATCTTAATATAACTGTTTTGTCTACACAGTACGACGTCGTGGGCCACTCAGGCGACGGCTACGACATCGAGCTGGTCAGAGCGGATAAAGTCCCCAAGAATAACAAAGAGAGACTCAAAGTCCTCAAGGTACACTTTCATAATCAGTCCGCTCTTGTTTTGTCTCTGCACACCTGTTGTTCCCACACATACCAACCCAAACAGACTGGAAACAATGGTTTGTATTCTAATGCTTTCATTCTCTCTCGTTAACGTGGGAAGTCCTCCCGTTCTCAAGGTCCGCCACCACAAACGACTTCTCCACCTGTGCGATAAACTGGATAATGCACTGGATGTCTGAACGTCTTATTAAACCTTTTTTTCTCTTTGGCCTGTTTCCTCCTTCTTCCTCCTTCCTCCCTCGCCCTGCAGAACATGCATGCCCACTCTCAGTTCTGCATGAGCGGCGACTACACTCTGGAGGGCACCGACGCCAGCATTAAGGAGCTGGCGCGAGAAGAGGCCGACGAGCACTTCGTGGTGGTGCTCAGCGATGCCAACCTGGAGCGCTACGGCATCCGGCCCGAGCGCTTTGCCCAAGTCCTGACCTCTGACCCGCAGGTCAACGCCTTTGCCATCTTCATCGGATCCCTCGGCGATCAGGCCGAAAGGTGAGGAGGCGGAGACGGAGACGGGTGGCATCTAGGGGGCGTTAAGTTGAGGGTGCAAATAAAGGGAGGCAAAGGAGGAAATAGGAAGGATAAGTTAAGGGGGTGAAAAAAGAACATAAGCCAAAAGAAGGATACATATGACAGGAAGTAAATGAAAAATAAGATGAGGGAAAGTATAGGAAAAGATGCCAGAGAGGCATGGACAGGCAGGATAAAAGAGGAGTAAAGTGCACTCCTCTGCCTGCTTTGAGGAGCCTCTGGCTTCATGGTTAGAAAGCAGTCACGAGCTCAAGGACCTTCAGTACGATAAGAGACCTGTTATGCACCCCGCTCACGACTCTGTGAAGAGCAGGAACAGCAAGAAAGCAAAGAAAGAGACCTCTGACCCTCTAAAACGGCGACGGGAGGAATTACTCTTTAACTCCTGATGCCACGGACGGGTAGAAATTAACTCTGAAAGACGGTTCAAGCAATATACAGTTTATGGGTTCAAGTCAGAATGTGAGGAGAGGAATGAGAACGATATATTCACGTGTCATGGAAGCACGCACGCATATGGGGAAGCTATAGAGTTACGTAGTTTTATGTTGGGACAGTTTATGTTCCTGTTGACTGCCCATGCTGGTGTGTGTCCTCGTGTAGAGGACAAACTACTGATCGAACAAGAGGAATGTGTAAGTTCATGGGGGGAATGAAAGAATATAGAAAGAAAGAAGGAGTGCCATCAGATGTAGTGTGTTTAAATAAAAGAACTAAAGCGAAATGGAAGTGGCTGTATTGTTCCTCCACTCCTCCATGTGAGTGGCAGCCCTTTCATTCACAAATGATTCTGTGTTTCTTTACTTCAGACTCCAAAAGACCCTTCCGGCAGGGAGATCCTTCGTGGCTTTGGACACCAAGCAGATCCCCCAAATACTGCAGCAGATCTTCACATCTACGATGCTGTCCAATGCCTAAGACTGACACACACACACACACACACACACACACACTCACCTCTTATCTCACACATTCAAAACCTCAAGATCTGCTCTGACAAAGCTCGGAAGCTTGTCAGACTTTAAGGTTGTGACTCATCACGGTCCTGAACCCGCCTTCTGTATCAGATTATACAACTTTATTTCAGCTGTATCAGTACTGAAGACTCTCCTTGAAGGGAAGAGACTGTTGTGGTTATTATTTTTACAGAAGCCTTCAGCCTGTCAGCCAAATCTAACAGTGAAATAATATTTAACCGCTCTGTAGTGTCCCTCTAGGAATAGGTACTGTACCATGTGGTCTATTAAAAAGCCTGTGATCTTGTGCATGACTGTACTCTACTGTATAATGAGACGCACTGTCTCGGAAGCAACAGTGACCTAATGAATGCCTGGAGCCTGTCTCAGACCCCGTGTGGGGATCAAACGCACGGCCCTAAGCTGTTGTTGTTTTCGACCAACTGAGCTAACAGCGCGCAGGCAGGAACCACCTGACCGACACTTGGATGTGACGAGCGGCAATAACTTTGCTCCAGAGGAATGCTGGGACTGTGACCAGGGAATTTCCCCCCACCTGACTGCGCACGCTATTTAAAGGCAGCCACTGTTGCACAACCACCGGCTGTGTGTGTGTGTGTGTGTGTGTATGTGTGTGTGTGTTCTCCTACAGCATCTATGACAACATGCACGAGCCCTTTCCTTCCTTGCTGCTGGACCTCGATCGCTCGTCTCAGTCCTGCAGGAATCCGAGACCCCCTTTCATTGCCAGACCTCCCACTCCTCAAACACCTTTGGCCCCTGCAAGGAAAATTAGGAGGAAAAGACTCTCTGACATGCCGGTGTGTGTGTGTGTGTGTTAGTTGTGCTCGTTAAGGGATTAAGCGCACACAGACCTGTGTTCGTGCTCAATGACAACATGCTGTGCAGTCAGATTAATTAATTCACCCGGTCTGAGCCAATTTGCAGACACGTGCATCCGATACTGTATCGGTTTCGCCCCCTGGTTGTGATACTTGGTGTTCACGCCTCTCTATGGTCGACTCATCGGATCAATAGAACAGCCTCACTAACTATCAGGCTCCATTGATCGCTCTCCGATAGAGGGATGTGTTTTTATTAACCCACTTCCGTCCCCCTTTGACCCTCTCTCTCTCTCTCTCTCTCTCTCTCTCTCGCTCTCTCGCTCTGTTGAATAGCTGGAAAGAGCAAAAGTGACCTCGGTTAAAACTGGACATGTTTGTCTGTAGACGTTTTGATTACACGTCATATGTTTGCAGTTGAAACTCCATGATTGGGCATTTCAAGTGTGCAAATTATAAAGCACATTATAATCACATACATTTTTAATCATTTTAGTTTTATTTAATTGTACATTGTTGTAAGTTTATGTGTAAAAGTAATGTACAAAATGTTAATAAATCCTGTTAACATTGCCCAGTTGATTCTCCAGGTCTGTACTGTCTTTGAGTAAAGACAAACACACACACACACACACACACACACACACACACACTCACTTCGTATCTCACACATTCAAAACCTCAACATTTTCTCTGCGAGCTCGGAAACTTGTCAGACTTTCAGGTTTGAGGTTGTGATTTATCACGATGTGTCCTTAACCCGCTTCCTGTACCAGATTATATAACTTTACTTCAGCTGTGTCAGTACTGAAGACTCTCCGTTTGTATGATGAGACAAGATAATGGAGAAAGTGCACTGTGTGTGATTGTGTTCTTAGAAACTGAGACCGCTCAGCCTCACTCTCGTTTCTCCCATGGTCACTTTTTCCATGTGTCCGCTGCTTCCTCTGTTTGTTCCAAACAAACCTCTGGACAACTCAAACATGTCCTCTTGTAGAGGACTTTATTACAGAGAAGGTACATCTGACTCATGGAAGTTAGAATCAATCAAACTTTATTTGTATTTCATACAAGTGCAGTTCAAAGTGCTTCACAGATGATTGACAAGTTGAAATGAGATAGTTTGGACTGAAAACAACAGAAAATACAAAGTAATTTGACAACTTTAGACCAATGCACAGAAGACAATAAAATGACACATAATGATACAATTATAATAATTGTATCATTATAATAATTATAATAAAGAATACAACTATACAATTTAAATACAACAAAATAAGTGATTAATAAAATAACAATGAAATAGATATTTTAGGTTTTAAGTTTACGTTTAAAGATTTCCTCAACACCTCCAACAGCTCTCATGTTGAATGTCAAAATATCTGAAAACTCATCATTAAATGGCGGTCAAGTCAGTTTATCAGCTGGTAAAAAACAGATTCATTTAAATGAAAATTATTCTGATTATTACTTGGCTGTATTGTGTGTCTGCATTGTTATATTACTCACCCTACAATCTCTGCCTTGGCCCTGTCCGGCCTATGGAAAGAGTAATGTGGTGGTAATTACATACTACTGTTCCACTTTCCCTCCCTGCTTCCTGTTTATCACCATGGATTTGCAATGACAAAGTGACTTTGAGGGCGCTCACACGCATTTTGAATGCACACCTGGTCTGCCTGTTCTGTAGAGCCCCGTATGATTACAGCGGAGCGATAAGACGTCTAGACTAGGAGGGTGTTACATTAGTGCATTAGTCAGTGTTACGGTGTTTGTTTGGTATTTGTCCCCGTCTTACACGTTCAGATACTGTATATGAGTCAGTCAACGTTTCTGCAGTTGTGGAAAGAATCAGCAGAAACTCTGGTGATTCACAACTTGAAGCAAACTATTTTTGGGTTACTTTTGGCTGATGTCATCACATTTCAGTCCAGTTTGACGAAGCAAATAACGCGGGCAGGACATAATAAGTGTGACTGTCTCGGGTGTTGACTGGGGTCTAAACTGCAGCGTGATGGATCCCTGTACATACCACAGAAGGACACCTCAGGGAGACATTGTCCGGTTCGATGGGATTGATCGCTGATCTCGGGGCAACCCAGCAGGACAGAGCAGAGTGATTGTCCACAGTGTTTGTCTCTAAACAGTAGAAGCAGCAGCGTGTGTGCTCATTTGGCTGTAGTCGGTGTGATTGATGCCAGCCTGTATGTTGTGAGTGTGATCACAGTGCAGGAATGTTACATGTAATAGCATGGTTTCGTGTAGTTTTATGAGTTTGTAGCCATGTGTGTGAGGGTTTTCTGGTAATGAGCAACAGTGAAATCAGAGGAACCGGAAGCTTTTAAGTAGGAGAATATAATAATGTCCGCCTGATAACATACAGAAAGATGCAATGCAGACATGAAGGAAAGCATCACCCCAACACTGTTGTGACTGTTGGTGAGCACTGAAGGGTAACGACACACACACACACACATGAGGTGCTTCAATTCCCCTGTGGTGGTAGAGACAGACAGCTGCAGCAGTCCCAAAGCTTTATGGCAGATTCATTAGGCAGTAATAACAGTCCAGAGTCAATAGTGTCCACTAATATCAGTGTGTGTGTGTGTGTGTGTGTGGGTGGGTGTGGGGGGGGCTGGCTTTTAATATCAGTCTGTGGAGCGAAAGTGTGTGTGGTAAAAGAAAAAAAAAACAAAGAGAGAGAAAGTGAGACACTGGTCTCATTGGGCTGAAAGAGATCCCTCTTGGGTCTGGCACACTTTGGACAGACAGACACACACACACACACACACACACACACACACACAGCGAATGAGCACCTGACACCTGCCTTGTCAAGTCCAAATTGAGTCGCACATTGAATCTTGAGCGGAGCCTTATGAGCCGAGCTGCTGACAGACATGAAGGACGGAGTGGCGGAGCACCTGACACACAGACGTGCTGATACGCAGCTGTACGGGCAGCCAGTTAGCCAGTTGGAGTGGTGATGAAAAACAAAGAGAGGATTACAAGACTATACGTCAGCACATCATCCAAGTTCACCGAGAATTGATGATTAACTCCCAACATAGGCTTGTGTCTGTGAGGGCTGCAAACATCCCTGCATTTTTTTAAACTAAATGTGTTTGTAGTTAGTTGGTTAAATGTCCCCTTGGAGAATTGCTACTCTATGAAGTGGGGGGTTTGCGTTAACAGCTCCTGTTATTGTCTCCCAAGGCATTTTGGTCCACGGGGCCAGACTTAGAGACCTCTATGGATTAGTGTCTTCAGGAGAGGAACCAAGACCCCTTTCCTGGAGCAAAGCCTGGGAGAGTATCTTGCTGCCAACTGGGTGGAAGCCCAAGGAGGGGTCCTGTTGTACTGATCCCCGGCTCCAAAACGTGGATCTTGTGTGCATGTAATGTCACCTCTCTAGTGGGGAAGGAGACAAAAATCAGCATTAGTGGAATTGGGCTCATTTCTTCATGTCTTTACTGTGTGTGGTGTTCATGACTCCACCTGGGATCTGCACAGATCTGCTGGGGGACCTGATCTGTATCTGAGTTGTTTTCTCCAGACTTCTGTGCTTGTCATGGACCGTCCATAATAAATGTTGGAGTTCATCGTTGTACCAAATACAATAATAATACAACAAATATAGAATCTGTGGAAGCCTCGCCCATCTCTCTGGTGAAGATCACTCAGGCAGTCTAAAAGTGAATCGTCACTGTTATTGAGTCTGCATGTGATTTTCACGGACAGAAGTTGTACACACAGGGCTTGAACACCGGGTGTCTCACTTGGCGACCTCTGAACTGCATCTCAGACTGTCCAAGCCCGAGGAAACCACAGGACGGAGCCTAAACACGGCCGCAGTGATCACATTTCCCACCTAGCCAGGGAACACAAACAATGAGCATGGACTGAAACAAATGTGCAGGAAATCAATCTGAAAAGCTTGGGAAAATGGTCACCCGTCATGTAACCTAAACACATTCTGTGGTTGACGCAGTTACATTGTTACGACTACGTGTTTAAGTTCAGGCGGAGCCATTGCTGTCCTGTTTGAGGGTCCGTCTGTGTTTCTCTCTGTCATTACCAGTTAAAGTTTCAACAGATTAACACACATAGCCTCACTGGGAAAGTGATTGTGTCTGCTGAAACCCTGCGCTTGGTTATTGAATAACTCAGGTGAGCTTAGCCTGGCTGAGGTGGAACATTTGTAATCATGAGAGCCAATCCAGATGGCTAACTCAGATCCAGATAGCCGCACACGCGTGTTTGTGTGCATGCATGTAGTAATGAGACACAGGGATGGAAAACCTTTCCACTTGGGATTGGCTTCGCTGGGTTTTTTTCACCACTTACAGCTTATACTTGCCACCACAGACTCCTAATGTGAAGTCTCTCCATGTCTGCCTCCACAAACCCTCAGTTCAAGTAATACTCATACATATATGGGTTCTGGAACTAACTGTCACTATCTGTAAAGCCTGACCGTCCTGGCCATCATCCGCCATTACACTCCCTGTGAAATGAGTCATCAGAGACAGAGAACCTTCCATTACTAATACTTCCCATTCAGACACTCCGAGCTTTCTTACAGTCCTGTGATGAGTCTCACATCATGCGGAGGATGTGGTTTTTGAAATGTTACTGTGGTCAGCACTCAGAGCAGATATGACAAAGCTGTTGTCCTTGACTACTTGGTAAACAATGTTTTGTGTTTGTGCCCGTGGCTGCTGAGTTGTTAGCTACACAAGCTCTTTATTGTGCAAACATGTGACAGTGATCCTATTTGTGAGATCAGTTTGATCAAATGTCCTCAACATTCTAAACAAAAACACTGTTTGAATGAGTTGAATATAATGAAAGTGCTTCTGTCGTACATGAGAACTATAGCATCTTGCTCTTCAATAACCGTTACTAAAAATGTCTTATTTAAAGGGTTGGTGCTTTTTTGTATGTGCTTCATTTCCAACACTTGTGTGTGTGTGTGTGTGTGTGTGTGTGTGTGTGTGTGTGTCTTTTCACACACGTTGATTTATGGGGCAGGCAGGGAGACTTTTCCTCTGACAGCGCCAAGTGTTTGTGGAGCAGAGAGGACACGCCTGGAGCTGGAGCTGTGGGGGAGCCTACGCAGCTCTAATAGATTTTGTTTTTCCTGTCCTCCTCCTCCGCTTGCTGCTGAATCAAAGTCAAGTCACTTGTATTTATATTAGCCGAAAATCCAGACTCACACGCGACTTAGAGGGAATTCCAATCTGTACTGTACAATATCAGATGTATGTGTGTGTATGCCTTTAATTCAGAAAAGGAAAAACTCCAAAGAGAAAACTTTGGTTGGAAAAGGGAGGGTTGGTGGTGTGTTGACATCAGCAGCTGAGTCTATTGATTTAATGTTTCTGCATGTTTCATAATAAAAGTAAGATTTATAAATGTGTATGACGGGTAGTTCATTCTTTTAACAGCCTTTCCCATTTTAAAATTCCACAGAAATATACTGAAAAGCCGGGAGTCCCAGTTTTCCACCTGCACTTCAATGCAACATGCAATTGTGTTTCAGAGACTGAAAAGAGTCTTAAAAACATTCCACGCACAAATGAACCCTAGTATACATGTCAGATGGTCTATGCACACATTCACTAATCTGTAAATTAATTCAAAAAGACATCTTTCTGCACAGGAAGATTTTTTTGAAGGCAAATGTTTTTTTTGGATTCATGACCTTAAAGTTGTTAACATTGTAAATGTTGAACACTGACATATATTCACATTGTGTTGAATTGTTAGTACAGCTCTTTAACATTTCTTCACAGTGGTGGGTATGTGTTGAGACTCCTTCCTCTCCACATACTCCCTCCTTGCTTGTTAAAGGTGTGTTCACTGACAGTCAGCCAATTGTGCTGTTTGCTTTGGGTCAAGCATTGTGTGCACATCACTTCTCAAAGTCACAGGAGTTGAGACCAGGCCAGGCCAGCTCACAGTCACATGACAATATGCTGCATACTTGCTGACTGTGCACATACACATCTGGCCCCGGGCTACGGGCTGTGACCGACAGCAGAAACCTTTTTTTTTTTTCATATGTCACTGCTGTTCGTCAGTGGTTCTGCTCGCTGCTCGGTGATGTGAGTGCGTTATTGGTGTGTATTGGAGTCTGT